TTCCAGCACTCACTTCCAGACTGTGACAGGCCACGGTGATGTTTTCCCTGCGATGCGGTGACATGTCGCTGTCAGGTCATCAACTGTTCCTTCTTGAGAAAGCTTTCCTAATTCTGGGTGTTAAGATCTTTCTTTCATGACATGATTTTTTTGTTGTTAATGTCCCTACCTGGCAAAATAAAAACCGGGGTGGGCTCTGCCTGTTTCCTCCTTCTTTCCCCACCTCCTAATGTCTTTAAAATGTTTACTGATCTGTGAGATACAAAACTCTGGGAATCACTGCTCAAAACGGTCTGTAAGGACAAGCTAGGGAATCATTGAGAAACCACCTCAGGGACATAATTGCTCTAATTTAATTAGCATTCTCATTAGGAGGCCAACATTAGCAAGGGCAAAACGGGCCTTGTAACCCTGGCTAAAGCACTAGCTGTGGTGAAGCCCTAGTGCTCTCCTTCAGGGCTGGTTCCCGGCCTCGCTCACTCTTCTAAAAGGCCCGTCACGGAACGTGTCTTGAGCTGTGTGATCAAGAGCTGCAGAGAGACAGAGAACCTCACCAGGCCGAGCCACCACAGGCCCCAAGGAAGAAGAGCAAGGTAGCCAGAGGCGCCCAGACCTGCCCGAACAGGCCAGAAATCCCGCTCGTGAAGAGAAATCCGCCCAAGCCAACCCAGAGCAAGGTCAGCGAATAAACGTCTGCTCAAGCCCAAGGTCTGCACGTGAGCATTTGACTCACAGGCAGCTTATCCACTCAGCACACAAACCCCACGCCTCACCACGTGAAACCCAGTCTCCTCTGTTCTGTGCTGTGAGCTACCAGCTGGTGATCTCCACTGGCCCCCAGACATCTGCCAGGAACCTTATGAATTATTTCTTGTCAGTCCTCACAACAACCTGCCCAGTAGGTACCACTATGCCCATTTTACAGATGAGGAAATTGGGGCTCAGAAGAGTGAAAGGCCTCGCTCAGGATCACACATCTAGCCATCTGGTTTTACAGTCCACGCCCTGTGCACCCCGATTCCTCTCTGGACTTGTCACCGTCCAGAGAGGAATATGGTTGGTTAAAGGCAAAGTTCAGAGACGAGAGCACCAACTTAAAGTTGAGAGATGCTAAGGTTGTCCCGAGGGGACTCTGGTCTCCTTGTCCGGATCCCGGCAGGAAGAGGAGCGACTCAGGCGCAGCGTCTCACCTCCCTGCTGTAGGGGATCTCGATAGTCAGCAGCACCTCCTCCGGACGTAGCAGGGTCTGTCTGTAGCCGGGGAAGAAAGTGTGGTCCATCTGAATCGTCCTCCTGGTGCCTGTACAGAGGCCAGATGAAGGGGGATCAGTGGGAGAGCGTGGACAATCCAGTAGTGGGTGCTCCATCCTGGTCTCTGATGCCCACAGTCAGAGGGAGTGGCTGGCACAATGGGGGCCAAGGTTCTCCATCTGAGATCCCTAAGCAATGGTGTTTGGCGAATGTTTAATAATAAATTCTTTGAAAAAAAGATAAAACCCTGATTATAGTATTTGCTAGTTTCTGTGGTATAAATACTCCCACCATACTAATTTCAAGCTACCAGAGTGACGTCACTGACTGTGAAGCCAGAAAGAGGGTAGCAAAGGGTTGACACAGTAGGCTGGTATCCTCTGACAGGCCTGCTTACAAGGTCAGCCATTGCTGTCCTCTGGGAACTAGGATCCAGGAGGGTTCCCACCATTCCCTGATAAGAAGGATGCACTCTGCCTGAACTGTTTGCACAGACAGGATGGTTTATGCTGAACATGTGCTTTCCTTCTGAAGTCTGGATTTTTGGTGTGTGACCAGAGCCATGTGACCAGCCCTCAATAAAGTCCCAGGTGCTGAGTCTCCAATGAGTTTCCCTGGTAGACAGCGCTTCACTTATGCTGTCACAACTCAACTTGTTGCTGGGGGAAATAAGTGTGTCCTGTCTGACTCCACTGGAGAAGACTCTAGAATCTGGTGCCTGGTTTCCTCCAGACTTTGCCCTCTGCATCTTTTCCCTTTGCTGATTTGGCTTTGTATCCTCCCACTGTGATAAGTCGTAGCCATGAGCACAACTCTCTGCTGAGCCCTGCGAGTCCTCTTGGCAAGTCATGGAACCTGGGGGAGGCCTGGGGGACCCTCCGACAAGGAAAGCGGCACAGTAGTGCACCATTATCTGGCGTTTCCACTCTGCAGGTACACTAGATGGGAAGGAATAACCTCAAGGGCATAGACATAGTAAAATGAAGTAGAATAATCAGGAAGTGGTAAATTTTGAGTCTTTATTACCTTTGTTTTTAATATAATTTATCTTATGAGTTTATATAATTTAATTTTTAATAACGTCCAAATTTAACAAACACCCACAGGCTCCTGAAAATCCTGCCATCAGCTGTGGTGAGCCTGCGCATTCTGGCTCCAGCTCACCACTGGGTGAGGCATCAGTGACAGAGCCTGCTGTGAATTCTTGACAAGGAAATGGCCCAGCTCTCCTGGCCCCCAGCCTGGGTCCATCTCCCTTGCAGCTTCTGGGGATCCTCAGGACAGCTGGGTCATTGAACTTTGGGCTCTGTTTCTCCAGAATGTGACCTATCTGGAGAGCCTTTTCTCCCCACGACCCTGTTTCCCGACCCCTGCGTGAGGCAGCTCACCTCTAGACACGATGGTCAGCTTGGCCCCGCTGGCCATGAACACGGGGTTGAGGTCGGAGATGGGGCTGGCGGTGATGATGTTCCCTCCGACGGACTAGGACAAGCAGAGACCGCGTGTGAGAGCCCAGCCAGGAAAGCCTGGCTTACCCCGCTGGCTCCCGAACACAAGGTGGGAGGTGACACCTGTGGATGGAAAACCCCAAGGACTTCCAGCCCCTGTAGACACAAGACTGGCGCCGTGAGAACTTGCACATTCAGAACAACGTGCAAAACTTGAGATCCGAATGCTCCTGCGTGGGTCCCAGCTCTGCAATCCCCAGTCGGCAAACCAGGGCAAACGCCTTCAGATTTGTTTGTTTGACTTCAGCCAACCTTTTTCTGAGAAGGTCGAGGTGGTTTATCACTGAGGTCATGGAGAGTCAGGAAAATAGAAATATAAGATAAAGATCAAGGAAAATGAGGAGGAAGCCCTAGGGATGAACAATCTGCTCCAAGTGGATCTGAGCTTCCTGGCAACTTGGCAAAGAATCAAGCACAATGTTCTCCTTGTTAGAAAAGAGGAAGAAAACCAGTTGCACAACGAAAGCAAATCCTTCCTGGAAGCGGATTCCAGCTGTGCTGGGGACGCAGAGGGCTTTCTGAGTCTGTTTCCTCATCCACAAGTGGCCGTGGCCGGTGCTTGGGGTGGCGTGCAGGAAATGGGAGTAGCTATTTCGCTTTATTTGGGTTTTTATTTTAATTTAAAACAGTGAAAAATAAAACAGAAGGGATAGCTCTCCTCGCAGGGCCTCTGATGGCACCAGGGTTGTGAACACCGTTTGCAAACTGGGAACTTGGGGGTCAGTCTGAAGGCTGATTGTGAACAGTCACCAGGTGGGCCCCTCCCTCCTCTCAGGGGTCTCCCTCTGGTTCTCCCCCGACTCTGAAAGGAAGTCCCGCTCCCTATTTGGCTGCTCCCTAACTTCTCTCATCCACCTGCTGACAACCTCGGCCAAGTCCAGGAAGAGATGGGCAGGCGGCACCATCTCTCCAACCTCAGGGGTCAAGACTGAGCCCCAGAGCGAGTGTTTCCTGGAGTGGTCCGCAGTCTGCCTTCATCAGAAGCGCCAGCGGGCTCCATCCAGCCCTACCAAGTCAGAATCTCTGAGGGCGGGGCCTGGGAATCTGCATTTTTAACAAGCACCCCAGATGGTTCTAAACATTAAAGTTTGAGGCCCACTGGGTCTGCAGCAGAGGGCAGACTAGCTCCCCAGCCTTGTGATGAAAGGTCCCGTCCCCTGGGCCTTGTGGGACCCTCAACAGGGACTCACCGCCACAGCCTTGACCTGCCTCCCAGCAAACCAACGCAGCTGCTCCAGGACGCCTCTGAACACCTCTGTTCTGTGGGCAGGAAGCTCTGCAACTGCATCGAGCAGGGTCTTTTCCACACAACTCAGGGGGCAAGCGGCTCCAAAGGAGATACCTGGGAACACAGGCTCAGAATAACAGCGATCCCCTTCTCAGCTCGGAAAACGCTCTCATACACAGCTCCTATCACACTTTACAGCTACCAGAGTGAGGCCGAACCAGGACTCACATCGTTATATGGATAAAGACATTGAGGCCCAGAGAAGTTAAGTGATTTGCCCAATGCCACACAGCTAATAAAAGAGCCAGGACTCAACCCCAGGTCTCTTGATCCCACAACCAGAGTGCTCTTTTCCATAGATCAGTGGTTCTCAACTCAATAAAATCAGATCTCTGAGAGCTAAGTCCTGACAGTAAGTGGCTTTTTTTAAAAAGCACCAAAGAAATCCCCCCTCACCCCCATGGCCCTGCCTCCATGAGTGATTCTAACATGTAGCCAGGATTGAGAACAACTACTGAAAATCTCACAGCCCTTGGGGCTGTCATCCTACCACGCATGCTCAGTGGAGGAAGGCAGTGAAGGGGTGGGCCCCGTTCCCTGTGCAGGGCGGCTCCAGGAGCCGCACGGGCCACAAGACCAAAGGGAGGCTTTCCTGGCACCCCCCACCCCATGTGACCAGTTCCCAGCATCCCAGCCCCTCTGTGGGCTCAGGTGAACCTCCCCTTACCCTCGGCTCTGTGCTCCACTGAATTCAGCTCGGGGATCCAGGCTGGGCAAACGATCACAGGAAACAGCCTGTTCTTAAACTTCATCTCGATGCCTGGAGGGGAATGGGAAGCCTGAAGTTACAGGCTCGTCCTTTATCACCAGGACAGGCATTGGCACTTTTTCCACCACTGCACACAGGATGTACGACATATTCACAGTCGGGACGTGTTCTGTGGGCGTCTCGAGATTCGGAGGGCAGTGGACAAGATGGGGGATCAGTGTGTGTGTGTGTGTGTGAGTGTGTGGGTGTGGTGTGTTTGTGTGTGTCTAACAACAATATTAGAAAACACAGAGGATTAAGTAGGTCAGGAACCCTTCCAAGCACTTGACACATTTTGACTCATTTAATCCTCACAGCAGCCCTATGTGATACTATGATTTTCTCTATTTATAGATGAAGAAACTGAGGCACAGGGAGGTTAAGTTTCTTGCCCAAATTACACAGCTAAGAATGGGCACATTTTGGTACTCGAGCTATTATTAGAGTTGGGGTATGACAGGAATAATAACACGAAAGTCGGACATTCAGACAGAAGGGAAAATTGACTGAGAGAAAACTTCAAATCTGCCCCCCAGTCTGAACAGGTGTCTGAGTTCCTCAAGGTGCATGGTTTTGCGGGACAGCATGTCCTGATCTGGTTTCTGTCCTTCCCAACTACCGAAGGTAGAAACTTCTGTGAACAGTCACAGCTCTGTTTCTCAGACCAGTTAGCCAGCACCACTCCCAGCCCCACCCACAGGGCTATGGAAAGGAAAGGTTAAAAAAGAAATGTCTGAGCATCCTCCCCACCCTCTCACGTGCTCTTTGGAATTTCTGCAGGGTTTGGGGAGTCTGCCCAGTTGGAATGTCAGTTCCCAGTACAAAGAATGCAGATGGAGGCCGAAAGTGGCCCATCCGGGTAAGCTTCTCTCTATGCCCGGCTTCCCCCAACACCCTGCCCAGACTGTGGGTGGTTACACTGTTGGGCTGTGTGTATAAGGGAGGAGGGGGAGCAGAAGGAGTGGACTTAAGCAATTAGTTCTAACTTGGAGCTTATAAAATTTTTGTGAATTCCTTTCTGTTGGAATCTAACTGGGTCCGGGACGTTGTGTGACACAGCAAGGAACATGTCATATGTCAAAGGACCTCAAAGATTCTTCCAGTCAGTCATTTTCCACCTTAACTCATGCTACCTCAGGCCATGGCTATTTGGGCGATCATGATCACGCCACTTAAGCATGGCTCACAGGCCACCCTGCCGACCCAATGTGTCACATCACTGCAGCTGGAGACTTTACTGCACCTGTGCTCACAAGGGTGGGGCCAGCTCTGCTGGTCCAACCAGAACCCAGGGCTCAGGGCCTCCTTCCAGAACCAGAGGCAGGAGTCTCCCACCAGCTGAACTTGCTGCTTAAAAGCATGTCTCGTCTCTCCAAACCAGAGGTCCTTTAAGGCAGACATCGGCTGCGCCACAGTCTGCTCCTTGGGTCCTGGCTGGGCTTGGGACCAGCACAGTGGAAACGGGCCGAGCCAGGTTTAGAAACGGATGGAGATTAGCAGGGACCTGGGCACCTCTCCTCCTGTCTCTTCAAGCACCGCGACTGAGAGCTGTACATCTCAAGTCTCCGTGGCCGGTTCACATGTTGTGGGCCTCATGTCCTAAGAGTGGAGGTGGCCACAGTCATAGGTGACACAAACACAGTCACACTTGGATGTCTCCTCTTCTTTGCCTTACCACATGCCCCCAGGAAAAGTGGGGGGGCAAGAAAGTGACATTTTTGGAACCCGTAGCGGCCATCAGGTACCAGCCTAGACACCTTACCTACATTGCTCCCTCCTTCCTCAAACTGGGAGACATGCCTGGGAAGGAGACGTGTCCAGTTGATCTGGGTACCCCAGCCCCTCCCAGAGTACCTGGTACATAGCTGCTGCTCTGTAAACTTTTATGGAGAACGGTCAGCAAGGATCTCAGTTAATACTCAAAACAACCCTTTGAGGAGGTATTATTACCCCATATATGAAATGGGAAAATGAGGGCAGGGGAGAAGAGGTAACTTTTCTGACTTCACACAGCCAGCAAGGGATTGACCAGGTCTGTGTGACGCCAAAGCCAGGGGTCTTTGCAGGAATTCAAGCATCAAGCTTCCCCAGTGGGTCCCCGGGCCCGCAGGCGGCCCCAAGCCAACCCTGGGCCCTTACCGATCTGCGTGTTCCCCACCACCAGCTTGGCCTCCGGGTGCTGCGCTTTGAGGTCCAGCAGCTCCGTCAGGGTCGAGGCCTGGATCCAGGTCACACGTTCCCCTTCAAAACGCAGCTGCTTCTGAGGAGCGTCTTTCAGTCTCTGGAAGATGTAGTTTTCTTACTGCACTGTCTCCTCCTTCCCACTGCCATTCCCCTGATAAACTGCCTTAAGTCTGCAGTGCAATCAGCTCTTCTACTGATTTGTTTAATGCTGAATTCAGAATGAAAATACACATCAGGACAGAAGTGAGGGGAACTACTGTGTATCGAGGCAGGAGTTACACTACAGCTCTTACATACGTTCTCCCTCTTGGTCTTTAGGAGACCCCCGTGAAGAAAGCATCGTCAGCTCCATCTTCTACAGGTGAAGGCAGAACCTGAGCATCAAGGTTAGGGGACCTGCCGAAGGTCACCCCCCACAAGGTGACCTGAACTGTCCTGAGCAAAAGCCCAGGTTCCTTGCACTGCCCTACTGTCCCCAGGACGTGCAGAGGACACGGTATGGGAGGGGACGGAGGCAGTGAAGGAAGAGGTGTCAGAAGTGACACCGGGGGGCTGGTTCTAGTGCATGAGGGGTGACACAGGGCTGGGAGAGAAAAACCCCAAATTAAACAGACAGTTTTTGGAGGTTTCACAATCCAGAGAAAGATGTTCCAACTGCCTGCTGCAAAGCCCTTCCCTCTGGCCCGTTGAACTCATAAGGCAGTCTTCGTGTGCTCAACACCCCCGAGAAATCTGCATTTGAGAAACTCTGAGAGTGGCTTGATTCTTTCCTCGCCATGGTTGGAGTGCAGGAGCAGAATCATCAAGGCGAGAAAATGGGTGTGAGAGGTGTCCTTAGACAGAGCTGCAAGCCATGGATCGTGCCCTTTGAATAGGCTCTCTTTTTCTGTTTGTTTGTTTTTTAAATAAATGGACTGCTCACAGAGAGCAGAATGGGTTGCTTGGGGGGCTTACACATTAGACTTAGCTAAGAAGCCAGCAGGTACTTCTGGGGCATCTGTTACTGTACATGATGTGCCAGAGAGCTTGACTCCCTGTCCTCAGAGTGACACGTGGGAGAAGGAAGGAAGTGTGGGTGCCTGTGGGAATGTGTGGCAGAGGGATTTGAGCTCTGGGTGTCACAGAAAGGAAGGGAAATGCAGGCTGAAACCTAAAGGACCAGGACACGGAGGTCCCAGGGATGCGAAACAGGCACAGAGACCTGGCTGGGCCTCTCCCTGGGGCGTCACCTACCAGCAGCTCTGGGGGGAAGATGGGCTCCTGGGTGGGATCCAGGGGCGTGAACTCCTCTGGGTTGAATAAAGATGGCGAGAGAGTGACCTGCTGGAAAAGGGAAAGATGGGTGGTACAATATCCCCTCCTTTAAGGTGCCCTGTAGGACTGGCCCAGCCCTTCATCCAAGAGAGCTCATTTTCAGCCCCCAGCAGGCTGGTGGAGGGGCAGGCAGCTCCTGGAAGGCAGGAACAAGATCTTGCCAGAGGCCCAGGGATGATGTGCACATTCACTGACCTCATAGTCTGGGCATAACCGTTTCCTCTTTCAGCCACCACCACCAGGAGTGTGGAGAGTGCCCATAGGCTCCTTTGATCTGAGATTGGCCCCCAGGCTTCCAGTGAGAGAAGGACCCCCTTACCGTGTGGTCTTTCTTCTGGTTCATGCAGCACTTGGGGTTGTCCCCATCTCCTCCACAGCACCCACCAACCTAGAGAGATGACCAACATTCACACAAAAATATTTGCAAAGAGTTTTCACAGGAGTTAAAGAACCTAGATTATTAATATTCACTGAACTCTAGCTCTGGTACCTATGCGACCATCAACAGGAATAGCAGACACCCCCACCCTATCCCACTTGCCTCTGCTTTGACTAGTTTCTCTTGCTTGGTTAATGTAGACTAAATAATTCTTGAATAAACAAATAAGATCTCTCCTGAAAGCAAAAGGGAAATTTAATTTTAAGGAAATTTCTCCATAAAAGCTGGGCCCTACTTTAGCAAAACATATCTTTGCACACATTTTCTCTCTTCAGTGCTGCCTCCTTAGGGAGCCTCTGAGAGATATCCCCATTGGTTCTCTCAGGAATCCCGAGCTCTACTTCTAGATCAGGCAAATTCTATGGCGCCTGGGTGGGTGCCTCTCAGGCTGGGGTCTTTGTGGGGCTCCCACCAAGGATGTCCAAGACCAGCGCTGGGTCCAGAGATGTGTCCAGCAGGTGTGCCTGACGGCCTCACCACTACTTATTAGGCACTTCTTCCCAGAGCGCTAAGCATTCTTCTTTCCTCACTGTGGGCCTGTTCTGGAGGAAAGTACAGGTCTGATGACCCCTCACCTACGGGGAAAGGACTTGCTCAGGACCTCTTCGAGTGCCAATGGCAGAACACAGAGTAGAGCTCAGAGTGCCGCCTCCCAGAACTGAGGCATTGAGGGTGGGGAAGGGGTGTGTTCATCTGACTGATCTGCTCCAAGAAGGCAGGAGTCTCAGCTCAGGGCCTCAGGAGACACTCCAGAATCGTGGAGCTGTGCTGAGAGGCAAAATCAGGAAAAACTCCCAGGCACAGTCCCGGGCACATTTCCAGGGTAACCAATGCCTGGAATTGGGGGCTGCGGCAGCCCTTCTGCACAGGAATCACAGCAAACACATTCCATGCTAACATTTCCAGAAGGATGAGCCACAACCCATTAGCATTTCTGAGAAGGCTCTCAGAGGGCCATGGAAGCCACAGTCATGGCCTTGGAGAACCTAAAAGCACCGTCAGACTTGGCTTCTGGAGAGAAACCCTCCTTTGCCTCGATCCCCTGCACATGCTGCCCTGCGTGCAGACCCCTCCCGCATTCAAGGCTTTGACATTGGATCTCAGAGCTGCTCTATTTTGGATCTTCCATGACCTTGCTTTTCTCCTCCATATTTAAACAAAAAGGAATAAAGAAAGAGGACTTCCTATAGTGCTTCTCCCCTTTCTTCTTGGAGAAGGAGTGTTGTGGGGGGCCCTAAGTGAAGAGAGGGGAACCTGTACACAGTAAGGCATCAGTCTCACTCACCAGGTCCTTGTGGGGAAAGATGTATTTCACAGAAATGCATTTTCCAGATAATTAAAGTGCCAGCACATTATTACTTAGATTTTTTTCATGATAATTCATTTATGTGCTCGTGACATAAATTATTGTGTTGCACAACAATGGGTCACTCCCCTTAAGGGGCGGCTGAATAAGGCTTTTTCGCCCCAGGAGATTTCCACTTTTCTCAAAGACTGCTGAGTTGTGCTTATTTTCATGGTTCCTCCATTTCCTTCCTTGCTGCTAGATGGTCATTGTCATTTCTTGCTGGAACAGTGTGCCTCCCTCTAGCAGACCCTCCTTACCCTTTTCTAGAGTGTGCTATGGCCATGAAAACTGGAGAATCAAGTTAGTTAGAACCATGTGTAAAGTAAGAGTTAAAAGGCTCTGAATGAAGGCCTTGGGGGCCTCCAATGAACAATGTGCATGAGTTCTGAGCACACCCTGCGTACTAGTCAGTTTGGCTGCTCAGAGCACCCCGCTCAGCTCTGCTCTGCTCTGCTCTGCCAGCTGGACTGAGTGGGATGCTGCGTTACAGTGGAATCAGGAACCATCTCACTGACAATAAAACTCCGACCTGGGAAGGAGCATAATTGTCAGCTACACTCAAAAGCCCTTCCCTTTTGAGAAACTAGGAGCACTGGTTACACTGTACCTCTTTGAGAAGCCTCCTGTGAAATGAATACATGGGTGAGATTAACAATCCCTGGTTCTCAGGGAAGCCTGAGTGATTTATGAAGATCAAATATTGAGTAATGAAAGAAATGTATCAGCATCATAATTTATAGTTGTCATTTATTTAATACTTAAGATGTGCCAGGCATTGTTCTAAGAGCTTTACAAGAAGTACTTTCCACAAACACTATAAGGTAGGTATTATTATAATCCCCATTTTAGAAACAAGGAGATTTGCCCGAAGTCATGCATCAATTAAGTGATGGAATAGGATTTGAACCCAGGTCTGCAGAGTCTGAATCTGAGCTTTCAATCATTTCCATTTAAATCCACACCTCCTTGTTCCTCATCATCAACAGCACTCAGGGTGTGGGGTTTTCCATCCTCATGGGCCCATCTCCATCTCCACCCCTGCTGAGCTATTTGGATGAAACACTCCTTTTTGTAATGTGCCCACCCTAAAGGTCAGTGGAAAGCACAGGAGTCGGTCACTGTCCCCTCAACCCTGAATCAAATGGAGAGGGGACGGTTGATTGCAGTCAGGATCAACTTGACCCAGTCAGGGAATCAGTGAAATCTGGGCAGATTAAGCCAAGAAAGGAGAGGCCAGCCCTCTGTCCTCCCTGCCAGATGGCAGGTGTGTGTCTGTGTCTGATTAATCAATGTTCGCACACCCGGCTGTGGTTTCTCACTCAGAGTTACATGAACACTGCGGGGGTTCACGAACTGTCTGGAGATCTAATTAGCAGCTTCACAGGCTCAGCAGAGTGCCAACTGCAGAAAGCAGCTGGGAGAGGAAGGGAGGCGGGGCGCGGGTGCTGAGTCAGGCCGGGTTGTTATTAAATGCCACCATCAGCACCTGTGCCGTGGCTGAGCATGCCAGTCTCCAAGGGAAGCTGCCAAGCCCGACTGCCCTGGAGGAAGTTCGCTCTGGGGCAGCATGCCTCTTCCAGGACCAGCTTTCCAGGCCTTCCCAGGAAGGGAAGTCCCCGTGCTGTTGATGAGAACCCCTCCCTGAATAAGAACAGCAGGGTCCAGGGTCCATGCCAGGCGTCTGCAGCCGGAGGGCCCGCCAGCTGGCCATCTTATCTTTCTTCTCCGTAATCCACAGGCCCTTGGCATCCCTCCCAACTGCGGTTGCTGAGTGTTGCTGCAACAGGAGCAGGGCCACAGCTGTCCCGGGGCCCCCACTTACCCTGGCGAAGGTCCGGAAGCCCTGGAGGATGGGTCTGTAGCCTGTGCAGCGGCACAGGTTCCCTGTAGGACAAAGACAAAGCCGCAGTGTCAGCACAGGCCCCGGGGCAGGTGAGGGCTTTGTGGCTTTGCTCGCGGCTTGGTTAGATACTCTCTTTGCACGTTCTGTTGTCTCTGCCTGTAATACCCCTCTTCCTCCTTGTGTTCCTGACTTCAAAACACATCTAACACATCTTCCAGGAAGCCTTCCTAGAATCAGTGTCCTTCCTACGAGCTCCCATGGTGCCTACTCATAGCTTTATCAGTGAGCTTATCAAACTACATCGTCTTCCTCTTCAGCATGTGTACTGCTTGAGAGTAGGACAGTGTCTTTCATGCTTGTGTCCCTTATACACTCTACAGTGCCTGACATATGGTAGGACTCAATATAACTGATTGAATAAATGATGGGTTGAATGGTGAATGGAGGGGTATCCTTCTCTACTCAATTCAGAGGAACAGACACCTTGTCCAGACTTCTGGGCCCATTCACAGAAGGCAAAGTGGGGAGCCAGTCTCTGCCCAAGGTCAGAATCATGGCCACCTTCCTCATATGTGGCCTTTGCCCTGCAAAGTCCTGTTGTGGTGAAAGCTGAGAGGGAAGGAAGCCATGTCACTAGCTTCTGTGGAGTTTTCCAAATGGTCTCCTCCCATGCCAGGCACCCACTGCCACCACATCTCAGTGTGGGTGGACGGTAGGAAGACACCTCAGGAAGACAAACACTAAAGCAGGAGACCCCAGGAGGTCCCCAAACCACCCAAGTGTTCCAAGAGAGGGCCAACATTCCAGTAGATCATAGCCGCCACGTTGGGGTGGCCTGAGCCTTTCCTCCAGGGGGCAGCGCCTCGAATTCCTAGCCCTCTCCCGGCATCCACTCCCCCTGCCCTGACCTCTGCAGAGCCCCCTTTGCCATCCCACCTCCCCGGCTGTGCCTCGAGGCTCGTACCTTGGAAGGCATCCTCGATCTCCTCGATGGTGGGCTCGGGCTGGTTCCGGAGCAGTGTGTACATGCTCATGACGATGCCAGGCGTGCAGAACCCGCACTGGGACCCGTGGCTTTTGGCAATTCTCTCCTAAAAGGGACAGATGACATGGACACTTGTGTTGGCAAAACCCCTCCTGGGCTCCCTACATGGCTGAACTGCAGTCAGCCCATGTTGACAGACAGTGTGGAGTAGCAGTCACTCCACCAAGTCAAATCCTGGTGCCACCCCTCAGCAACGGTGACCTTGGCCGGGTTACCAAGCCTCTCTGAGCCATAGGTTCCTTGTCTGTATGATGAGGACCGTCCTAATATTTACCTCTAGAGCTGTGGCGAGGATTCAACGAGATAATTCACATAAAACTCCTGACATTACACCTGGCATGTAGTTATGGTCAACCAGTGTCAGTTATTAGTAGCAAAGCTCCTTCAAGGAATAGCAATGACTACAGCCAGAAGGAGCTGCTCGCCCATCCTTGAGCAGAGGAGGGAGCAGCCCCAGAGATTTAAGAGAGTTGTCCAAGTGGAAGACCTGTGTCCTGCTCTTGTAACTACACTATCCCACAATCCAACCCAATCAGCATATATTAACAACCACCTGAATACATTTTATTCCAAACAGAGTACCATTGAATACTTAAGTGAAGGAAGCCCTTGACGTCCACTGGGGACATAAGAATTGGGAAGTGTGTCATAGAGAATTTGCTATATGCATTGACTGTCACAGAATTGGCATTCAAACCTGCAAGATTTTATCACAAGGAGATTCTCCATGTTCATTTTTTTTTTCTGCCTTTTGAGAGTCTCTCTTGGTACTTATGTTAGGTGAAATTGCTAGACTATTGTATCCCCAGTGCCTAGTATGTATAGTCATTCATTTTATGAATATTTACTGAGAACCTGTTATGTGCCAGGCATGTAGAGGCCGTGGGCACAGAGCAGTGAAGAGAGACAGGTCCCTGGTCTCACGAAGCTCATGTCCTAGTAGGGGCGATACTGACAAAAACAAACAAGAAAACGCCATGTGAAAGTGCTATGTAGAGAATTAGTACCAGATGACATGACCCAGAGTGACTAGTGGCTGCTTGGAGTGGTCAGAAATAGACGCTCTGGAAAGGTGACCTTTAAGTTAAATTTAATAACATGATTTGGATCAGGGACAAGTGTATTCCAGGCAGAAGAAACAGCAGAGGCAAAGACGTTGAGTACAGCAAATACAAAAGCCTGGTGTGCTGGAGTTGCTGAAACGCCAGCGTGGGTGTAACCCGCTGGGACAAGAGAATTGGGCTGGGGGAACAGGCAGCAGCCAGATCATGCAGCTCTTCATACGCCAGGGTAGGGATCTGGATTGTATTCTGGGTGTGACGGGCAGCCATTAGGGGATTTTCAGCAGGACATGGTATGATCTAATTTGTGTTTTTAAAGAGTCACTCTAGCTGTTGGGTGGGACAGGGTTGTAGGGAGCAAGAGTAGAAACAGGAGACCAGGACACTATAGTGGTCAGGGCAGGAGTGGGTGGTGGCCCCACTCAAGCAGCAATAGGGGAAATAGAGGGAAAATGAAGGTTTCATGGCACGTTTTGGAGGTAGAGTAGACACTACTGGATTGAGTGGGTGTGGTGTACGAAAGAAAGAATCATAGGTGACTCCTAGATTCTTGTCTTGAGCAATTGGGTGGATGCTTTTGCCATTGACTCAGAGGGAGGAAGACTGAGGAAGAAAGTTAGGGGAAAAATAGGGTTTTGTGATGTTTAAGATTAGACATCCATATAGTATGTCAAGTAAGCAGTTGGAAATAATGAATATAACCTCTGAGGAGAAGGCAAAGCTGAAGATACAAATGTGAGTGCCATTTGCATGTAGATGGTATTAAACTCACCGAGCAGGAGAGTCAAGATGGAGCAGGGCAGGGGCCCAGGCCAGAGGGCACTGTAGCAATTAAGGGCTGAGCAGACGAGGAGCCAGCACAGGCTGTGAATATGGAGATAGGAGGAAAATGGGGAAAGCACAGTGTCACAGCAATTGAGAGAAAAAAATACATGGACAAGGAGAGGTGGAATTTTGCTTTATAGTTTATTTGGAGCCAAAATAAGTGCATCAAGAATAAGAATCTGTACCATTGGGAAGGGATGATTTAGCCTGATTATATGGATATGATCCCAGTGTTTAAACTGTTCATTCTTTCTTTCATCTATTTGCCTCAAAGAAAATTACAAGCCCTAATTCACCTTCTCATATCTCCCGTAGATTGGGCAAGTTTAGTAATTTTCCCTTTTCCTGACTAAGAAACGAAGCTGTAGAGGTGAAGCAATACCAGCCCCTCTGCTCTGACCTCCCACGATGGTCTAAGATGCTTCTCCCAAGCACTATAGTCATCTTGCTCAATTGGAGGCCCTGGCTCCAAGATTCATGTAAGGTGTCCAAGGAAGGTGTGATCTGAACATGCCGTCTCCTCGAATGGTCAAGGGAGGGTTAAGACCTAGGCCTAGCCTTGGCACCTTCTGTGATTGGAATCTCCCAAAGACCCCCTGCCTCGGTTTTCCCAGCACTGGGAACACTGGCCTTTCCTTCCCAGAGTTCTCTGCTCCCATTGTGCTCCATTCCACTTTGCCTAAGAGCCTCCTGATTCTGGCCACAAAACCTCCCAGGTGACTGCCCATTCTTCCCAGAAGCATCCCTGATTTCAATCCGTTACCAAGTGCCCTGACACCACCAGGGAGATAGCTGTGGTCACACACTTGTATGTCTCTATGCTCTCGCTCAGCCCTTGCTAACCTCCAATTTAGTGAGGGTGGAGTCCACATTTGTATTATCTGCGGTGGGAGGCAACAGGTGCAATGGAATTACCATTCGAGGGAGCAGGGAGTAGGTGTGCTTTCTATCAAGGGGCACAGAGCATCTGGAATCTTGAATCTAGGAAGCAAGGGGAGGACGTTCCCCTGCCTCTCCTCCCTCCAGTTCTGGTGCAGCTGGACTGCCCTGGCCACCAGAGCCAGCTGACCTCTTGGTTCTCTCAGGGCCATGCGGTGTTACATCCACCCCCACCACAGGAGGGAGCTTCAGGCTTGGGCGCCTCCTCTCTCTGCCTCAAAGCCCCTGAGGAGATGTGGAGGGGGCCGGCAGTGACATTCAGCCCGGGACACAAACCAAGTGCGCAGCCTTGGCATGAGCCTCCCTTTCCCTTGGTTACCTGCACAGGATGCAGCCTCGACTTTGTGCTTCCTATTCCTTCCACAGTCGTCACGGCAACGTGGTGCAAGGAGCAGATGGGGGCCAGGCAGGCATTGGCAGGAAAGTGGCTGGAACCCCAGATTAAGGTCATTCCATTGTCCCCTCAGGTCATCAGAGTGAACCTGAGGGCAGGGCCTGGGAGACTCGGTGACGCTTTGTGTCATTTCTCTTCACTCGACATCACGTTCTTGTCTCTTCTACAAGTGTCCTCACCACTCCATCCAAGACTCTGGGCTAGGAACAAAGGAAGCTCTCCCTCCAGGTGAGGCCTGAGCCCCTCCAGAGGCATGTGGAGTCGGGCGTCACTGCACCCTAAGCCTCCGAGCTGGAGCAAGGGAGCTAGGGTCACTTTCACCAGGGTCTGACTCAGCCCGACCCCGGAGGCTGAGTTTCTGGCCTGTTCCAGGTCCAGTACTTGCTCCTCTCTGTGCAGGGCCCTTCCTTAGCCTCTTCAACTTCAGAACTTCCAGTCACTTTGGCTTCCCTGCTTCACCCACCTCTATTTCCCCCATTCCTCTGTGGGGAGAATCGAGGGGAAAATCCCCAGGGCACATGAGACACTAACCGCTTAGAGAGAGCTTGCTCGCTTCCGTTCCTTTATGCATCACTCATTCATTTATACAATCAACATCAGGTCGTGAGTGGCAACTACATGCCAGGTGCCCTGCTGAGGGCTGAGAAATAATGGTGAATAAGACAAAATCTCTGTTCTTCTATAGTTTACAATCAACCCAGGAAAATAGAAGCCAGTGTGAAGGTGCGATTTAAACATCTTATGCAAAGTACATCAGGAGGGCTGTGCACAGGGCACTATGGGACTGGCACAGACAAAGCACACCTAACCCAATCTTGGGAGATCAAGGAAGGCTTCTTGGAGGAGGTGATTTTTGGCCCAGTCCTAAAAAGCTAGTAAGAGTTAGCCAGGTAGAGAAGTCCTGGAAGAAAGGACATCCAAGACTTGGGAAACAGCTAATACCAAGACCAAGAAATTAGTGAGCACGGAGCATTAGTAGTTCACAATTGTCTCTGCGTGAATGGAGTGCTGGGCTCATGAAGAGAAAGAAAACTGGAGAGGAAAAGGCTGGACATATTGGGAAGGCCTTCACATGCTAAACAAAGAGATTGGATTTTATCCTGGGGGCAATGGACACCTATTGAAGGATTTCATGGGAGGTGAAATGAGTCTTGATTTTAGAAAGGTCACATGTGCACACACACGCAGGCACTCACTCACAAGCTGCCCCCTGCATCATAGTCCTCACAAAGGCAATCAGCCAGCAGGCAAAGGATACACAATCTTGTTCTGGAGACGATCGTACTTGGAAAACATCACGGTGCACGCCCCACAGCCCCCTTCTCCACAGCCCAGCTTGGTCCCGCTCAGCCCCACTGGATGGCCATGGGTTAAGGAAGAGGAACTCAGAGAAGAGTCTTTGCTGGGCTGCTGAGAAGTGCCTGGGCAGGGCTGCGAGTGTAGAGCCATCCACTGCCACACACGGGCTTAGGCCCCTCTCCCCAGGGAGGCAGTAGACCCCCAGGGCCTCCTCGTTCAGAGAGCCTGCACTGCACCCCAGGAAGGCAGGGAACGGACCATCTCCACTCTACAGAAGGGGAACATCTTCAGAGTCCTATCAGGCAGCACCCAAGTGTCATCCCCTGGAACTTGAGTTCTAGGACTTGAACTTGACTGGGACTTGAGATCTGAAGATTTTCTTGGTGTCAGGGTATTCCCTCTGTGGTCCTCTAGGCCCCCAACACTGTGGTCTCACTGGGCAGGTCAATCAGGCACCTCAAAGACTGAGCATAGGAGGTGAATGAACCAGAGGTAAGGCCGGGATTCCCGGCTCGCTTCTGTGAGTGCTGAAGCAATTCTTTGTTGTCCCAAAATATGTCCCTGGAATAAGCCACCGGACATCCCTGACTCTGGGAGCAAAAGGGTTTGTTGACAGAGGTCAGGATGAACATCGCCTGACAACAGACCCCTGGAAAGTTTCCAGTATGTGTGGGAGGTTAAGATTGCGGCTCTAGGCTTCACTCCAGGCTTTAATTCTTGGCTTTACTCCAGGGGCAGCCCTCATGTCAACCCAGCTGGGTGTGCAATGAAGGCACTCAGGCTACACAGAGACATTGATCTGTTCTGGGACTTGCTGGGTCCCGACTTTTCACCCTATACTTTTTGGGCTGATGAAGTGCGGGAACCAAAATCAGGGCTGGACCAGGAGCTTTTGAATACCCAGCCCATAGGATATGTGAACAGAAATTAAAATGAAGATATTTTTGAGATCAGGGACCAATACTGAAGCCATCTCTCACATATACTTGAAGAAATAACATGATACTTTGCATTTGTAAAAGTGCCTATGTAATAAGCCATTCACAGATTATGGTGGCCACTTTCCCTGAGACACCTGGGATCCGTTGCTGCTTTTCCTTCAGCCCTGCTGGCCTTTAAGCCATCCAGCTACCTACTGAGAACAGAGGGGGCTGAGGTCATTATTGTCTTGTCACTTCTCTCATTTTCAAAATAAAACTAACAATGACATAGCATCTTATACTTGAACAGCCCTTACGGCCATGGACCCGTTTCATCTTCACAATAACTTAGTCAGCAGGTGGGGCAGGAACTCCTATTTCCCCACAGATTAAAAAAAAAAGAAAAAAAAATCTGAGACCCGAGAGCCAACGTGAGACCTGCAAGGTAGCACAGTCACTCGTGTCACCTTGAGTGTTAGGACCCAACATGGTCATCTGACTCCAGATGTGGGGGCTCCTCCTTCACCATGGGGCTGCCTCCTTCCAAACACATCTGGGGAGGGTACTTTCTATGTCCTAAGTCACTCTTTTCACTAGTCAGGATATGTGCAGTTATCAGCAGTTCAGTCCGGGGGCACGTGAAGATCAACGTTAGCAGCCCAAAGTCTAGCAAAGTCTTCTAGCCTGGGGACCTTCCTGGAAGCTGAGGTAGAAGGCAACGCTGTGCTCTTATCTCCTGCTGGAACTCCCACAAACGACTCTCAGCACAGGCGGCCACAAGCCACAAGGACTCACATTTATGTGCCAACTTTCAGTCTGGGATTTCATTTGAGAGCTCACCTTTAAACCAGACAATTAGTCTGATGAGGAACATCTGAAGCCTTTGGGCCTTCAAAACTTGCTAGAAAACTAAATTGATGTCAACAATCGCTGAGAATGAGCCTCTTCTTCCAGACCACAGGGAGATGGGCTGGAAATGGAGTTCCATGTGTCCCTGGGATAAGACACCAGACATCCCTGCCTCTGGGAGCAAAAGGGTTTGTTGACAGGTCAGGATGAGTGTCACCTGACAACAGACCCCTGGAGAGTTTCCAGTTGTGTGGGAGGTTGAGATTGTGGCTCTAGGCTTTAGTCCAGGCTCTGCCAGCATCTTCCCAGGATACAAGAGGGAGAGGAAAGTCCCTTAACCCACGCAGGCCTCTGTCAAAAGGGCTTGCTGTAGGGACCAGTGAGATAACCTACACCATCACCTTGAGCTCCGCCTGTGTATAGTAAATGCCCATTAAATGTTAGCTCCTACTATATGGCCACTGTTGTTTTGTTCCAGGTGGCTGAAAGAACAAAAGGTATGGGGGATCTAACAGAAGCCTTCCCCACACTAAGAGAAGAGCTGCATCCCAGGTCCCCCTCAGGAGTCCCTTGCCCCATGCCTCCTAGTGCCCGCCATTTCCACAATGGATGGCACCTCTACACAGTTCCTCACCTCAGGCATCCCCTTCCCATCAAACACCTCTTCCCCTCACTTTCCTTCCTCCTCAGCAGAGCTAGAAACATTCCCCAGGAAGCCCATTTGTGTATTAGCAAAGATGTTAGCACAGATCTGCTGAGGAAGGTGCCTCTCCTCCTGAGAGGGAATGACTGTGAGTCTCTCCAGGGCTAATGAGAGCCTTTCAGAGCTGTTCATTTTACAGGCCCAGGATTAAACCTTGGCGTTACTAGAGTCTTAGCTGGAAGAGACCTTAAAGGACAATCCTCTCATTCGACGGCTGAGAATTTGAGACTCGGAGAGCTCAAATGACTTCCCATGGTCACATAGCTGCTGAGTGACAGAGCTACAACTCCAACACAGGAGCCCAGAGCCCTAACCCAGTGCTCTCTCCTTCCCCTTCACGGCCTCCCCACCAGTCCCTAGAAAATGACACAAGGCCCAGAGAACGAGTCTCACTGCCTCCCTCTCCCTCGCCCCACTCCAAAGTCAGGATACACTTTCTTCTCAGGTAGGCCAAAAGGGTTGTTTCTGGATCTGCATTTTTCTCCACCACCTACAAAAACAAAAACAAAAGAAAAATATATCATAGATCTACTTAGCCATTGTTTTCCTCAAGAATTTGTAGAGTTAACAGGGATGTGGAAACGTAGTATGAAAACTAAGGTGTTTTTCCTGACAATTCCGTAAGAATGATCATATTAACTACAAGCCACACTGTGTGGGTGCTGACATCCTTCAATTCTAAAATTCTATGGTGGTGTTCAGCTCAGGAACCCCCACAGAGCGCTTAGGACCCCCCACAGAGCACTCAGGTGTTACACCTGCCATGCTGAGCTGACCAAGGCAAAGCCCACTGCCAATCAAACATGTCCTCTCCTTTCCTGCCACTGGAGCACACCTGGTCCCCCAGCGGGGGACCGCTGGGAGCGACAGCATGCAGGTCTCTGGCTTGGCCTCTTGGAGTGTGTACTCTCAGCCAGTAGCGATCCAGTCTGTTGGAGCTCAGAGCAGAGTATTGTATGCACTGGGCTATCACAGTCAACAACATTAACATATGTCAGAAACGGAGGGGAAATCTCAAACCAAAGGTCCGCAAATGGAATGGTCAATCAGATGGAACAGAAGTTTGTCTACAAAGTGAGGTGCTAGTTCCCGATGCAAATCAGCAAAGGAAATCAACGAAAACCTACTTTACTACTGCTCATGTGTTAGCAAAGGTGAAAGGGTTTAGGTGTGGAATGATTAAGGGGAGAGAATTTGTGATAAGGGTTTCTTCAGAGAGAACTGTACTACGAGTCTCATGTCTTTCTAAGGTCGGGAGGAGGAGGTGTTTGCCTCATACTTTGTGAGGGGGCTTCTACAATGCTATGTGGGAAGCTACCAATGCGGCCTTTGTGGTACAGGGGATGTGGTGGTCTGGCCTATCTAAACAGCTGGAGATAGGCTTACCAAACAAGCTGAAGATGAAATGGTAGTGTTGGAATCGGAGTGCACTCCTGGAGTGTGGCAGAGCAAAAGATGTGAAGTGTTGGCCATGGACACTAGTAGGCCATGCATGACAGAGAGCCGGCTTGGAGGTGTTTAAATCATTCTCAAGAAGACTGACTACAGGAGGTGATGGGACCTCTAACAGAGTCTGTGTGGAGTGGACCTCCCAAAGCTGGAGGCTGAGGGAGAGCAGCCAGCCTGAGAACAGCACATCCCCCAAGTCAAGAGATGTGCAACTGAACGTTCCCAGTGGTGGCGCGCCATCTTACAACAGCACCAATTAGATGGGAACTTTCTTGCTACCCTCACCTCTCTGTCCTGAATTGAGACTGTGTTTGGTAACCTAGAAATGACCATAGGATTTTTTATTGACTAAGAGTAATCAAAAAGGTCATGAAACTGCCAGAAGTTGCCCCTTGAATAAACTTTAAAGGAAAGTGGAAGATAAAATGAATTTTCTTTTACGATTACATCCCATGAGTCCAGTTCATTCAAAGTCCTGGTTACAAAATTCACACAAGGAGCCATTTCTTTTCTCTTGGAGAAGAAATCATAAATGCACAAAATGAAGATCCTTATCACCTTTCTTGTAGAGGCAGTTAGAGCTCCTAGCTCACCACCTCTCTGCAAGTTATTCCTTCCTTGAGTCCTGCAGCTCTGCTTTCGTCACACTGGTTCCCTGCTCAGCACCCTCAACCACCTCCCACAAATTCAAGGTAACATCCAAGTTCCTCAGGCTGTTTTTCAAGGCCTTTTTCGATATGTCCCCAATCTTTATGTTCAGACTTTCCCCCTCCTACATCCTTGCCAAGCTGGTCTTCATACTCTAGTGAAAACACAGCTTATACCTTCTGACTCCTACGCCTCTGACCATTCCATTCCTCTTCCACCTGCATCTTGACTTATCAGAAGACCCCAAACATTTCCCTAGTAAAGGCTGTCCATATCACCCCAGCCACGAGCAGTCCACCCTCTCTTGAATTCCTATAAAGAATGGCTGTGCCACGCTCACGGCACAGCTGCAGGGTTTGCCCCAGCAAACTTCACGGGACCCCCTCTCAATAGGATGCGAGTGGGTGTTCCAAAGGAAAAAATACTTTGTGGGGAAGTGAGTTTAGAAAATGCTAGGTTAAGCAGATTGCTCTGGTAAAACTTGAGCATCCAAACAAATAATGGCCAAAATGGGTTATAATCCATTAAATAAAATTAAAACTCATGAGGGGGCTGGCCGTGTGGCCTAGCGGTTAAGTTCGGCATGCTCTCCTTTCGCAGCCCAGGTTCGGCTCCCAGGTGCAGACCTACATCACTCATTGGTGGCCATGCTATGGCAGCGACCCACATACATACAAAATAGAGGAAGATTGGCACAGATTTTAGCTCAGGGCGAATCTTCCTCAAGCAAAAAGAGGAAGATTGACAACAGATGTTTGCACAGGGCCAATCTTCCTCAAGCAAAAAGAGGAAGATTGACAACAGATGTTTGCACAGGGCCAATCTTCCTCAGCAAAAAAAAAAAAAAAAATAAAATAAAATAAAACTCATGAGTCCAAACTGATAATTAATAAATAAACAAATGGGAGAGAAGGGAAAGTTCTTTCTGACAGGAGAATGCCGACTAGTAAACATGGTTGGCCATCTTGTAATCAGCACAATAATTGATCCAGTCAAGAATCGTCAATGGATGCTAAAACTAGCGGGTGAAAGTTTGATAATCAAGATATTTACATAGTCTCAAAGTATCTTCTCACAGATTATTTATGAATTAGGGAAAAAGAGTAATCTCACAGTGGAGAAACGTGCTGGACACCACCTTGCCCAAGTGATCCAAGTTCACCTCACAAATACGGGGACAACTGGCATCATGTGCCTCCTGACATAATACACTGAGGAAGACGCACCACTTCTCTGCAATGCAGACTCTGAGTCTCATTTTAAGAAAGCATGACACGAACTCAAAATGAGGGACATTCTAAAAAATAACTAGCTGGTTCTCTTAATGATCATCAATGTCACAAAATACAAGGAAAGCTAAGGAGCTCTTCCAGATCAAAGGAGACTAAAGAGACCTGACAACTAACTCCAAGGCATGATCCTGGATCCTGGGCTTGGGGGGGAATGTGATAAATGACATTACTGGAAAAATTGGAATAATGTTGCATTAGGTCTATAGATCAGGTGACAGTAATATATCAATACTAAACTTCCTGATTTTTATCAATAGACTGTGGTTCTGTAAGAACGTCCTTATTCTTAGTTTGAGGGTGAAGGGGCATGTCTGAAATTTACCCTCAAATGGTTCAGAAAGAAAATTTTGTACTTCATATATTTATTTCTCAGTTTTTTAAACTTTGTATTTTAAATTAACAAAGGAATTTCTTTAATAGAGGATTTCTCAGAGCTTTTAATATTCATCCGTTCATTCCGTCCATGTTAATTGGGTATCTACTTTGTGCCAGCACTGTGCTGAGTGGTTAGGAAGAGTAACTCATGGGGATAGTTTTCTGTGAAATAGATTTTGTAACATATTACTTTGCCCAATCATAATCCACCTCTCTAACTAGTTCACAGGCTCGCTAAAGGCAGAAGCCTGGTCTTAGAGATCATATTCCTCCAGTGCATACAAATCCCATAGGCTTAGGCCTTAGGAGGAGCTTGCTAAATGTGAGGGAGGGAGGGAAAGCCACGCTGAGCCTCTCTGTAGCTGACACCTGCTTCTTGTGGGGATCACTCCTGAGCACATTCAGCTGCGCCCTGCCTGCCAACTCTTCCCAGAGTCTTCCAGGTGCCACAATCTCCACTAACCAGGAGTAACTGCTCAGAAACGCAAGGATCCTGCCCTTCAAAAGGCCTGTTACTACAAAATGCCAAAATCCTGGTATCTCTTTCCCTTCAATTCTGACTCTAGATCAGAAGATGTGAAAATGGTAGTCACCATGGCCCATCACTGCCATGGAAGGCTCGTGAGGCATTTGATCGTCAGCACCTTATACCGTCTCCCGGCCCCCGCTGGTGAAGACAGAGTCCTGGACAGTGGTCTGAAACAGGAAGAGTAGGAGGCTCACATTTAAGAGTGAGTCACCAATCCCAACAGCTTCTTTGGTAACTTCTTTGCACAACATCCGGTAACAAAAGATCTGGTATATCTTGGGAATAGAAATGCAAACAAACACGGCTGCCCTTCTTTGGCTGGGGAATTCCTTTGCTTGGTCTTATTCTTCTAGCACTGCTTTCACCTCCTCACTCCTTGCATTGCCTCCCCACTTTTCCAGCAGTTTCTCAAGAGGCCATACATTTATAAATTACAACATGCACATTCATCACAGAAACTGGCAGTAGTAGAAGCCTCCAGAGATAGTAGGGTTTGACGTGATGATACCATCTAAAAATTTTCAATTGCTTTCCCAAAGAGAAAATAAAATACACGGAAAAACAATTTTCACCAAGCCAGATTTACCTTGAAACGCTCCTTTCCAGATCCAGTGCATCACAGCAAACCATCCCTAAAGAAGGTCAGATCCTTGTCCTGTCACACACAAATTGACGGCTTAGTAAATAATCAAACCTTAGAGTGAGAGGTGGCCTTGGAAGTCACTGAAGCCAGCTGCTCACTAGATGTAAAAATTGCTTGAAAAACTCCACAAAAGATGCCTTTGTGTAAGTAACATCTCTAGAAAGCCAATTCAGCAACTATTTCTTAAATTTCTGCAATGCAATTGCTGAATGCAGCAAAGTTGTTGGAAAAGTTGGATGCAAAATCTTACAACCACCAATATGGAAGCTTTGCCCTACTTCTTGGTTTGCTGCCAGATACCAATCCTGAAAGGAAATTGGCTCAGAGAGACAACTCTGAACCCAAAAGAGCATGGCTGAGCGCATTCCCTTGGGCCTCCTGGTGGCACCACTCAAACTGAATCCAACAGCCTTTGGAGCACTGATGTTGTGATGGCTTACGGTGTTCCCTTGCTAGTCACTCAACACACACCTAACAATTTAAGCTCTACACATCCTATGAGGCACATTTCAGTTCTCGAAAATTACCTCAAAAGTCGTCCAGTTTCTCAGCTCAAAAGTGTCAATAGAGCAAAACAAATAAAACAGCCCTTCTCTGGGGGCTCCTTGGGCACGTTCCTCACTCAACTGTCCACATGGTCGTTTACAATGTGCAACCATGGCTGCCTTTTTACCGTCCCTTTCATCCCCAACTGGGGAGCTGAAGTGGGTGGGACATGTCCACACCTCTGCAGTGGTGTAGGGAGAGCAAGAGGAGGATGGAGACAATGCAACAGGCTTGCACCCTCTCTTCCCGCACCTGCATTAAAATTTGCAAAGACTCTTATCCTTGCAGGGCTGCAAGGACTGGTACCCACGTCATAAGTCCTCCCTGCGCGACCCCAGCTTCCCCAGGTCCCTGTGCACCAATGAAGTTCATCCCAGTAGGCAATTTTTATCAAAGTAAGAGATTTGCAACATTTGTATGTAGAACTAAGTGAGAGGGTGGGGGAAACATGCCCTTCAAAAAAAAAAATCGTGCTTTGCCCCAAGATGTTAGTATATGTTCTCACACAAGTTATCTATTATATTTACATACATGAACTATCAGAATCAAAGGCTGTGTACATCTTTCATCCTGATATGAGCAAGAAAACACATTCCTGTTCCTTCTCTCAGTAAAGAGAGCAACAAGCCTTAGGATATAGATGATTAGACAAGAAATAGGGGCACGGTGGGTGACCTCCAATCTCACTGAGAACACTGTCCCCCTTTCTCAGCTTTGTGCCAGGGTCTCTGCTGCTGCAGAGTGGGCAGGCTTGGGGGAGCTCACAGACGCCTCTCTCCTGGCTTCCCTCCCCCTCACTCCTTTGCCCTTGAGTATCTTGACTGTGTTCTGCCCTGAGAAGGTCTTCTTTCCCCACTGTTACCCCAAATGCAGCAACACCTTTGAAGAGAGAGAGAGAGAGAAGGAAAGCAAGGACATGAAAGAGAGAAAACAAGAACAGCCCTCTTCCGGAGGACACACATCCCTTCCCAGGGAGTAGGGAAGCCAGACCAAAGGCCAGCTCCTGCTTACCTTTTTGCCATTGACAAAGAAAACCAACTCGTCTGCTGTCATTGTCGCCAGTTGGGGTCCCTCAATTCCAGGTACCTCACTGCCAAGAGGAATAGGCAGTTATTACTGCTCTGCAACTTGAAAAACTCCAATAAAATGAAACCAAGTCGGCCTATGGGAGGGAACCAGCTTAGAGCTTCCGGGAACAGAATGTTCCTGGCAAAAGTCACTGCTTTAAATAACCAAGTAAAAGGGAAACAAACACAGCAAATCACATCCCCAGAACTTGTGTCAAAGAGCACAGAGGGAGGCGCATGCAGATTTCAGCAAGGGGAGGGGTTCCTTGGTGTCAGGTGACCGTGGATCTTAGGCACTGCCCTCATGGAACCTGCTTCATCCTCCCATTTGCTGAAGACAGAGAAGGAGGAGGGGCCGTTGTCATAGTCAGGGCAATAGAGCTGATTCACACTTTCCACCTCTATGCTTGTTGTTTTACCATTCAGGTTCACAGGAACCCTGACTCAGCACTTACGTGCAGGACTCCTTCTCCCGCAGCCTGGAGGAATATGGAGGTCCCAAGATGCAGAGCCCAGTGACCCAGACGCAAAACCTGGCATTTGACCTCAGCACGTCACTTGTCACCCTCAGAACTCGGTTGTTTTCATCCTGTAGATGGGCATGCAAATGACACCAAGAGCAGAAGGCTGAGGGACAAATGATATATTTAGGAAGTGCTTTGTAAAATTGCAAAGAAGCAAAATAGTTATTATTGTAGTAAATGTATTCTCAACAACACAACAAAAATATTCCTAATAACAAACCATTTTTGAGGTTTTTCTTTCATTTGTTTCTCTCAGGAAAATGCCCTTGATAAGTTGTCAGAGCAACTCATAATAAAGATATTTCAAAATCCCAAATAAATTAAAATGCACATACCACATAGGCATAGACCAAGTTAACACAGAGCTGACAACATTCCCACATCCAAGATCCATTAAATCCCGGTGTTACACACACGCACATTGCCTCCCTGGCAGCACCCATGGGCTCTCTGTAGTCCAGCACCCAGCTGCCCCTCTCAGCTCAGACACACACACACAGGCCACTTCCCCTACCCGCCTGGCAGGCTACGGGAGGGGGAGAAAGGATGATTAGGCAGCTGTGCTTGGGACAGCAATAGCTTAGGGAAACTGAAGATTGCCAGGACAACCACGTTGTCAACACAATGCCCCTTTCCCACCACAGCCTTTATTTAAGCGGGAGATGAAATCTCACTTGCAGGGTGACCAATCATCCCAGCTTGGTCCCAATTAGCCTGATTTTAGCACTGAATCCCTGGCAAATCCTTCAGTCCAGGGCAAACTGAGATGGTTGGTCACCACAAAACAATGGTTCTTAACTGGGGGCAGGGGAGGGGTGGGGAGATTCCCCACTCCCGGAGCCATTTGTCAATGTTTTATTGTCATGACTGAGGCGGTTTTCTACTGATGTCCAGCTGACAGAGGCCAGAGATGCTAGTAAACACCCTACAGTGCACAGGACAGCCGCTCACAACAAAGAATTATCTGGTGTAAAATGTTAACAGAGCTACGATTGAGAAACTGTACCCGAGAAGGAAGAAGAAGGAAGGAAGTGGGCAGAGGGAGAGGGTGGAGCCTGGATGGTGTTTTTGATGGGTAAATTCTCCCTGACCCTGCTCACACCTCTGTTTTCCTCTATTCACTGACCTACCCAGCTTTATAAGCTCTCTACTTTCTCTTAGCTGGTCTCTAGCCAATGTCCCAGGAGAGGAAAGAGCCATTGGCTTGAATATTAGCTCCACCATTTCTGTGTGACTTTTGGCAAAAATCACTCTATTGGCCTCAATATCCTCATCTACAAAATGGGGGTGACTATAGTGACTTAGTCAGAATCCACTCTGGTGAGGATTAAATGAGACCTGGGTTAGATGCGTTGCCTACAGTGGATGCTCAATATACACGTATTGATTCACCCTCCCACTTAGCCAATCTTCTGCCTCCTTCTCCTATCTGGAGGTGAAACTCCTCTCTCACTGTAGAGCAAATGAAAGTGAAATAAATTTCCAAAAAGGGCTTAGGTTATCATTCAGATTTTATTTCTGTAATAACTAGTTTATTTCTGTCATGCTGAGATTTAACAAAAACTTTGACTTAGCATGATTACTTCTTACTCAGCAAATATTTGTGACATTTCTTTCTCTGTAATTTTTTCAAAATGTTATAAATTAGGGGAAAACAGTCTAAAATAAGCATTTTTTTTTCCCCAAGCTGACGACCTCCTGTATATACTTTCAATGTTGAGATGAATTCTCAGCTCTAGGCTGAATTGATGGGATTTGATGGTCTTGGAATAGGCCACTATGACTTATAGTTTATTATATTAACCTACTCCATTTTCCTAAGGAATACCTTGGTTTATAATATGCACTGCATTGGCACATGAGGTCCCAAAGTCCGCAGAAAAGACAGATAAGCCCTGTGGCTTCCTGGACACAAGCGCCTTCCTCTTGGAACAACACTTGCGGGAAATCACGAGATATAAGAAGAGTGAAAATGCTGCCAAAGCCAAGCTGTTATTTCCAGAAGAGTGAGCTCCCTCAGGGGGAAGCACTTCCTGGAGGAAGAGCATTCCAGAAAAGCTCTGGAGGGTTCTCTGAAGGCCTGGTCAGGGCTGGGTCGAGAACTGTAGAGCCTTTCCTGTTTGGGCTGGTCTCTAGCAGCTCACGCCCTGGCTGGTCCCCGGCTCCCTGCAGAAGTCTCCCTGCCAGCCCTTAACCTGCCTCTGTGGCGGCACCTCTGGTCTGCTCACTCCCTCTTTTTGCTTCCAGATGTGCATTTTTATCTGTGCCCTATTGGCATCCCTGTTCATTTTCTTCACTTACGACAAACTTTACTTGAAAAGAAAAAAAATAGCTTTTCTTTCAAAATATTCCACTTTTCAAATTTCTTTTTTTAACTAAGTTTGGGGTTTTTTTTTTTTTGACTAAGACTGGTTTCCCTCCTCCACATGCCCATTCTGGATGAAAGCATCACTGACCAGCACACAAGTCCTCCCTTGTTCTCCCAGACATCTAGATTATTGACTAGTCCTAATAATAGTTCTTGACACCTGAAGAGCATTTCTTTCACATAATGTGACTTTGTTTGATCCTCATTAAAGCCCTGTGAGAGGGTCAGGGAAGTTATTATTATCTTCCCTTTCCAGACAAAGATAATGAGGATCAGAGAGGTTGACTTGCCAACAGTCTCATAGCGAGCGAGCGACAGTTTGTACGTGTCACCCCCTCCACAGCAGAGAAATAATCTCTTTGATGGTTCTTCTCTGACTATGAAGCATAAAACCCAGGATTGTCAGAATAGCACCCACGCCCTTTTCAATGTGGCTGAAATCCAGCCCTTTGGTTGACGACGTGTCTTTATCTCATGCCTGGATGGTGAGCCCCTGAGACCAGGAGGAGAACTCTTTACTGCTTATATCGCTGGTGACCAGCACAGAGCCAGATCTACAAGAAGGATCAAAAAATGCTTGTTGAGTTGATCCCACAATGCAATGAATGAGCTGAGTTTTCAGAAATATCTAAGTCTCTGCCTTTTACCAAATACAGAACTTTTTCCCATCATTCTATATATTCTTACCACCATTCAACTTCGCTCACCAGCTCTTTCCAACTAACCTTCTATTGATATTAGGTAACCAGCTAGTATTCCTCAGCACAAAGGCCAGATTAGTCTATTACTACGGAGGTAATCAACCTTTGATTTTCTATACACATCTGGGAAGTAGATTCTTTTTGAATACAGAAGATGGGATTATCCAAAAGTGGACACAAAGTCAAAACTAAAACTTCAGACTGCGTCAGTACTGCAGGCAGACAAAAGCTCAAGGAGTAGAAAAGGCCCAGAAGCAAATTTAAACCCACTTTATCTGTTTGCATCTATTATGTTTTTCCATGTCCCTTGCACTCAATAAACTCTGTAACCTAGAGATCATTTGTGGTGATGACAACGTGGGCTCGTCTAGACACAACGCGAGATCTCTCTTTCCAGTCTGAGCTGCTCCAGCATAATTCAGGAAGCAGAGTCCTTACTTTGCTCACTCAAAGGATCAGCTCACTTGTGCTCTGTAAACAACATGGCCCTATGAGTAACCATTGGGGAAAATTATTTTTACAATTGTTTGCTCCCCCCATTCTCCTCAACTGACTTATTTTTCTTATTGTCATCTGAAATACTATACGGCATACTCACTCACATGTTTATTGTCTGTGTCTCTGTACCCAATTGAATGTAAGTGTGGCAGAGATGTCTACTTGCCCACCAAATATTCATGTACTCCTTCTCTAAAAAAGAGTTTCTGCTAGAAAGCCACTGACCAGCCAGGAGTGACATTTCCCAGCCCCCTTATATGTGGAAGGAGCCATATGATTGAGTTCTGATGAATGTAATATGGGTGAATGTGATGTTCCCAATGTCCAGGCTCCCATTGTCTCTCTCCCACTGGCTGATCACTAACATCAACGCCCAGGGTGACCTCGGAAGCCACACATTAAAGACCACAGAGCTTCCAGTGAGCCCAAGTGCTTAAAAAAATACAATGATCTGAGCACTCCCCTCCCCCACCCTTGTTGCCTTTCTGACTTTATAGGAGCAAGAGAAACTTGTATTGTGTTTACCCACTGAGATTTCTGGGTTTGTCAGTTACAGCATCTAGTATTACACCACAATACTCACTAATACAATAAGTTGACCAAGGGCAGAGACGTCTATTTGGTTTTATCAGTGCAAAACACTGCGTGGATATGGTAGACACAGTATTTATTCAAGAAATATTTGTTGAATAATGAATGAATGAATGACAGCAATGACAGAATCTAGTTTTAGTTAAAGGCAAGGGTGCTTGGCACAGATGTCTGGCTTGGCGCACATGCAAATCTTCGTGTGCAAATGATGTCACCAAGGATCATGGGCTCTTGAGCAGAAGACAACTGTGGTCTCATCCTCAGGTCCTTGGCGTTAAGTGTCCCCATCCCCACAGTCTGTTAAAGGATAGGCTTCAGAACAACTTCCACACTAGGCAGTATTCACACATCCATTCATTTATCAACTTTAATGAGATTCTGCCATGTCTCAGGCACTGTGCTGGGCAATGATTAACTATAGAGTCAAAGTGACTTAAAGAACACCCTCATTGTACCTTATAAATAATCCATGACCCCTGAGCCCACATCACAGAAACTGAACCCAGAACATTACCTTCTCTCCCATATATCACCACTCCCCAGAGCAATGGCGTAGACTTCAGACTTATATACTGACG